AGAGAGAGGTCACAGCAGCATGCAGCTGTAGCCGTCAGCCGCGCGTGGACAAAGTCGTGAGTCGTGAGTCACCTGAACGCAATTAAACTTCAACCTCGGTGCAACGGGAGCAATAAGAGTCAAGTCATTCACATTCGTGTTTGATGAGTCCCGTGTCTCGAATTCTTCTTAGCGCATCGAAATGAGTCAGAGTCTGAGTTATGAGTGCTGGAAAGGTAGGACAACGTCTCGTAGCGCATCCATTTCAAAACGCCATACAAATGGATGTGTCGATCGTCTCACACTCTGACTTTCAAAAATTGTGACGAGCGTTGCCCATGCAGCCTCATCGTTACATCGCGAAAGTGACGGTGCACATTCATGTATATGGAGGGACGGGCTGAATGGCTGTGCCGTGCCGTCTCGCGCTTGTTCGGACTGTGTGACTCAAATTGTAAGATCTGAGACTACGTCTAGCCATATACTCGCGACTCGTGAGTGTGCCGCACCGAGGTCCGCTCGTCTCGGCTCCTATAGCCACCATGAGAAGGCTAGATCTCGACCCAGATCCGCTTTCTTGCTAAGCATCACGCAACCTTAACCTTGACAAGTCTGCACTCCGCTCGCAAGATCCGAACCGTGTTGCGCACGCTATTTTGATTGCTTCTCCTCTTCGCCACAAAGTCCAGATCGCTTAAAGAGCTCCTCGGCTCCGCGTCATCATCCACATTTCACCCGCTCCTCCTCACCCTTGCTCACCTTCCTGCACTCAACAACGACAACGACAACGACCACGATTCCGCATTACCCGCAAGCCCAAGCAGACACAGTACAGCCTCTTTTGCTGCTTACTTGCGTTCGCCGTCGTGCAAGGCACTGCGCTTCTTGCAGCTCGCGCTAGTGGTAGGACTCCTTGCACAGACAGTACTTTCTTTGGCACCCGATAGGCTCGCTGTCCCCAGTATCAGGCGACCTGGCGCACCCCGCTGCAAGGTGAGCACATAGTGGGCTTCAGTAGGAGTGCGTACCGTAGATTCGAACGTGGAAAAGCGTCATTCATGATTTGCGAGGCCTTCCCCGAAGAGGGCGAGCAGCCCAGGGCGGTGATTCCCACACGTTACAAAGGCATCCTCGCTGACCGCATCCGGACACGCGTCTTGCAGCTCGCTGGTCACAAGGCGCCAAGGTTCGTCTCCGAGCAAGTCCGCGGATCTGCGCTGGCTGAACAGCCTGCACATCGTGAACCGGGTCACAACAACAGCACGGCGAGGTGCTTCGCCTATCGGAACGAGTACAGCGCTTCGACTTGTCTCTGCTCGGTGCCGCCTCGATACACTGCGCTGGTCTTCGCCACGGGATCGTCAGTGACTTGCAAACACCGAAAGACGCTACTTGTCTCGCAGCACGAGGTCACCTTTTCTTTGTTCAAGGTCGAGTCTGGCCAGCTTAGAGAAGCTGTCATCTAAGCTTCGGGCATCAAGGTGAGTGTTGATGATCATTTCACGCATTTGCGTTTGTGCGGGTCGCATACCTACGGTTTCTGGGTCGCTCGCAAGGCGTCAAGGCAACCAACCATTTGATCCACATCAGTACAGTGGCTACCTGTGAGACCACTCACACTTGCCCCCGTCTCGACCGTTGGTCCAATCAAAGGTCGCTTAAGGCTCAGGCGCAATCGTACATGGCGATCAATCGGGTGCCCCTCCGCCGACCTGTGCACGCCCGTTGCTGCAATGCCAAGAAGCAGC